CTGTCTCACGGCCTCTACCCTCAGTCTGGCCTCCAGGTCCCTTTTGCTGTGAAAGGTGACCACATCCAGCCTCCTAGGGACACGGGCTTGCTCACCTTCAGGGCCGGCGTTCTGCCAACATTTGGCGTCTGGCCGAGACTCATGGCGGACAGTTGTTCTTCCAAGCCTGCCTGGTCCTCGGGTCCTCCCTTCTGGGCCCCGGAAGCCCTCCGTCCTCCCATAGGAGCTGCACGCGGTGAATAGGGAACCTCTTTGGCTCGCTGTGTTGGAGTGGTGCCCGAGACGCGCATCCGCCGCGAACCCTGCCAACCACACGTGGGAGCGAAAGCATTTCCTGAAGGAGAATCGCTGCCTGGCTCGCGGGGAAGGGGGGACGTACAAGGAGAGTCTGGGGTGCGGGCTAAGGTGTTCCTGAGGCACAGACTGTATAGCTGGCACTGTGCCACACATAAAAGTCACCCTGGTCGTCGCTTACTTTCTAAGGGGGACAGACAGATAAGCAGACACCTGAAGAAATGTGGAGCGAGGGTGCGACTTGCAGTGAAAGGCTTGGGGCGCTGTGAAGTGGCACCGAGGCCAACAGTGCTGGCTCTCTTAATGACCAGATAGCAGGTGCTTTGGGCTTTTTGAGCTGTAGGGGAATCTCTGTTCCACGTCCTTCTTTTGTTTGTGTATTGCTTTGTTTTTGTAAAACTTATATGAGCTTGAGCGTCACACAAGGACGGTCTACCAGATTTGTTCTTGGGCCGTAGTCTTGGCTGCTCCCAAGGTGGAGAAGAGGACTTCTCTGAGTGGATGGCATTGAGCCAGGATGCGGTGGTATGAGGGAGAGGCCCCTGGAGGAGACGGACGCGCCTGGCTTGGTGCTGCCCCGCCTGGGCAGGTCCTCGCCCGCAGCGCTTCCTCGCGCCCCTTCTTCCCCACTGGCAGGCCTGAGCATTGTGTGAGCTGCTGTAGAAGCAGCAGTGGCGGGCAGCGTGCTGCTCCCTTGCCCTGAGAAGGTCGCGGCCCAGGTGCCTCCGTGTAGAGTCCTGCTCCGTGCGGGTCCCCCTGCTCCTGCACAGGCCACCCCAACCCCCTCTGAAATCTCTCTCCAGTGGGGATGGCAACCCTGCCTGCCTGTCCTAGGGGCTCTTGGGAAAGTTGGACATGAACATGATTTCTGGGAGCGGGGTGACAGACGCAAGGCAAGTGCTGGGGTCAGACCTCCCTATAAAGTAACTTTGGGTGCATTTGTGTAACCTCTTTATGCTTCAGGTTGGTGAAGTTTGACATGGGGACTTAGCGCCTGCTATGTCACATAGGCACAGTGTGGTAGTGCACGGGGGTGCCCTTGCCCGTCTCTTCTCTTCTGACCCCCACCCCCAAGCTATTGGGAATTTGGGAGCAGGAGCAGCACCTAGCCTTTTTCTCTCTGGGAATTGGCCTTGGAAGCCGGGAGCTGCCTGGCTAGGATGCTTGGATAGAAAGGCCAGGCCTTTCCTTAACCTGGGACAGCTAGGAAAGGCTCCGTCTCCTCCGGAGCACCTGACAGAGTGCACTGAGGTCTCCGTGCAGCCCACAGGGTGGGCTCGTTCTCCCTCACCTGCCTGGCACCCTTGCCCACAGCCACCTCTGCCCAGAGCGCTCCCCGGGAAGCTATCCGCACACAGCTTTCACCCCAAATTCTGGAGCCAGGGAGCCCATTCTTCCCCTGGGGAATGTGAATATTTGAGTGCAGTGGCCCTCCCACTGGAGCAGGCACCAGATTCACCCAGAGGGCTTGTCAAATGCCCATCTCTGGCCCGCCCTGAGACACTGATTCAGGCTGTCTGCTCAGCCCAAGAATTTGTATCCAGACCCCAGTGGTGTCAGCCTCTGGGCCGGGCAGGACTGCACTTTGTCACAGCTCAGTCGGTGGCTTCGCTCTTTCCTTACCACTTCCCTCCTGAAGTTCGGTAATAATACTTACTATAAAGCAAATAAAGAAGCTTTCCTGGTGTAAAGTGTCTTGGTGTGACCAAATGGACTTGGGTATGGCTCCTTAAATTGAATTTAAATAAATAAAAATGGGAAAAAGTAGCTCTTTTACGGCACAGTTTCTGGGATGTATTGCTAAGTTGAAAAGATAAGGCGAGGAGAAGTACAGAGCGTGCTACCGTGTACTCAAGGAAAGATCATGGGATAGCAATTTATACATGTAGTTACGCCCCCAGAGTAAGTGAAGAAAACAATGCAAGCATTAATCACAAAATCAACCGTGTTCTAAAAGGGAGGCGAAAGCTAGATGGAGGTGGAGGTGAAAGCCAAAAATCCTTGAATCATAGTCTCTTTAGATTGAACTTTGGAACCTTGTAAATACTTTACATACTGATAACAACAAGATTAGATCAGAGCTGAACAGTGAAACAGAAGCCCTGAAAATGAAAAGGGAGATGAAATAAATGAACCCAACTGTGTATTAAGAACTGTGTAGAAAGGAATTATTCAAGTGGCTTGAGAGAATAAACTTTGCGCTTCCACACTAAAGTTTACCGTGCAGATTTTTCAAAATCTGTAATAATATTGCACCGATAATATTGGCATTGCATTTATGAAAGTATTACATATTGTAGAAAAAAGCAAATAAGTAACCTAGGCTTTAGAAAATTAAATATAATATATACAACAGGACAAAAACATTGTAAGAAAATTACATAGATCAGCTTGTCTAATGAATACAGGTACAAAAGTCCTCATCAAGATACTAGCGAACCAAGCGCAGCGATGTATAAGTTTATACACCACAGCCAAGTAGGTTATTATATCAGGAGTGCAAAGTGTGTCCAGTATATGAAAAGCAATCAATGTCATATAACATACTAATAAAATAAAGGATCTAAACCTCTGATTGTCTTGGCAGATGCAAAGAAAAAAAAAGCATTTGATAAAATGCAATACTTTTTCAGGATAAAACATGCAGCAAACTAGGAATACAAGATTCTCAGTCTAACAAAGGGCATCTGTGAAAAACCACATAGACACGTATAATTATGACAGAATAAACATTTTCTCTTGTAAGACCAGGAATAAGACAAAGATGTCTGCTCTTGCCACTTTTGTACAGCATTGGACTGGAGTCTCCAGGATAACTGGACCACAAAAAGAAATAGAAGGTATCTAGATTGGAAAGAAAGAAGAAAATATCTGTAGATGACAGTGTATGTTGCTGCTCCCTATACGTATGTGTACCCCAGATATCCTGAGGAAGCCACGCGGAGCCTTCGTGTCCCCTAAAGGATGAACACACCCCCTGTTGAGAAGACACTGCCAAATATCTTCCTGAGTTATGTCAAGCCTCTGTTTCTACCAGTTTATAGCTGGGGGTCCAAAGAATGCATTAAACGACACTACAGAGACACCGAGTACAGACAGTGGGAGGATCCTGTGGGACAAATGACCCAGTTTCTTCAACAGACAAATTATAAGGAACAAGGGGGCAGCTTCTATATGAGATTTAAAAGATACAGCACTTAAATGCAGTGATGTAGACTTAGTTCTGATTTTTTTTTTTTCAGAAGCAGGAATTGAACTCAGGCCCTTGCACTTGCCAGGGAAGCGCTTATTCCACTGAGCCATCTCCCCGGCCCCTTCGTTCTGACTTAAACAGGCCAACTATAAAAAGTTATAAGACAAGGAAGTTCGAACAGGAGCTAGATGTTTGGTGATGTTACAGAATGATGCCAGTTTCTGGGAGTGTTTGATAATTTGGCCTGCCCACAGTAGTGGGGCCTTCCACTCCCCACCTGCCCCTGTGGATTATGGAGAGCAGAACCCTGGACAGAGCAGAGAGGCTAAGCCAAGGAAGCCCACTGTATTCTTCCAAGCGCGTGGATGAGTCATTTGCCCCACTGGGGAAAAGTGCGCAAGGAGTGATGTAAAATAGGAAAACAAAACCTGTTTTTGCTCTGGGACCCACAGTCTCAACGCAGAATATTTCTGTGACCCGCTATGTGGGCTTTCTTCCCCACCAACCCCAGTTCTCCGACAGTAGCTGCATGTGTTAGAAATCAGACCAACTCTGACACTGTGACTCTACCGCAAGGAAGAGTCAGGAAGAGTCGGATCCCACACGCGGAAGGCTCCCTCCTACACGATCCCCCCACTTCATGTAGCGAGCACAAACCCAGGCCCCCAGCGCACTTCGCCAGCCAGCCCTGACGTACTCTAAGGGCACTTCCCAGGACAGGCACCCAGGGGTTAATTGCTAGCGAGTGCTGTGGGTCGTGCAGAAGCACTCCCCTTCCGGTTTATTACACAGGCTGTCACTACTAAGGACAGAGAGGAGGGCGAGTTACATAGGAAGGGACACAGAGCGCCTTCTCTGGACACACTGCCTGTCCAGCACCTCGTGTGGCCACCAGCCCGGCAGCACCCCAAACCCAGCTCCCAAAGTCACTAACCCAGTCCCAGCGTCTCTGCCTTGGCTGGAGGGTGGGAGCTGGGACTCAGGGTCGCAAGTTCCTAAGCACGGTGAGGCCCTTCTGCCTGCCCGCCTGCTCCTGGAGCTTGTCAGGAGTCACCAAAAGAGGCTGTCACCACTCAGGAAGTTCCAAGGGAGGTAGGGTCACTGTGGTAGGAATCAGGCCCAAAGAAAATGAATTTAAAACCGAAGATCCTCCTAGCACCTCTGTGCCTCAAGAAATTTTAAGGGTTTTTCAAGCCCTGCACCAGGAACCAGGGACAGAGGCCAACACATACATATTTGTTATTCTAAGCCACAGGCAGGAAGACAGGCCAGAGTCGCTGAAGCTCTCTGCTCCGCATGGAATCGCGACCTCATACCAAGCTGGGTCTTTCCCATATCCCTCCTTGCTGTGTGTGCAGGCATGGGAGGCAGGGCTGTGGGGTGCCAGGGAGCGGAACGTTCTCTGGGGGCCGAGGTTTCCCCAGCCCTCCCCCACATCCCAGAGGCTGGGCGGAGGTGGTGTCTGCAGCTAGCCTGACCCTGTCCTCTCACACCCATTTGTGTCTCTCTCCAGCTGCAACAGCAAACGCTACCTGGAGACCCTGCCCAACACCAGCATCATCATCCCCTTCCACAACGAGGGCTGGTCCTCCCTCCTCCGCACGGTCCATAGCGTGCTCAACCGCTCCCCCCCAGAGCTGGTGGCAGAGATTGTGTTGGTGGACGACTTCAGCGATCGAGGTAGGGTCGGCCCCTCCCGGCCTCCTGCGTCCCACGCTCCCCGAGGGGCGGCACATTTCCCCTTCTCGAGCGGGCGGGCCACGGACCTGGCCGGGCGCACATTGTCTCATTTACCAACCACAGCAGCCATCAGATGGGTCCTATTTTTATCCCCTTTCTATCAACTTGGAAATGCATTCCACACAGAGGATGGAAGTGCCGTGAACAGAGGATCCAACAAGGAGAGGATTCACCCACCTCCCTCTATCTGCATCTCTCTCTCGTTTTCTATCATATAACAAAAGATCCGGGACTGGCACCACTGGCTGTTTTAGGCTGCTGTAAGAGAACCGAGCTCTTTCTCTCTGTGCCTCTTCATCCTCATGGTCAGAAAATGGCTGCTGAGCCTCTGGAAAGG